GTAATTATACATTCTTATTGCTCAAAGTAGTGTCCTATAGTGTTATAAAAACCTCGGAAAATTCCAGTAAGATATCTTTAATCATTTCTAAATTACAACGCTTCAAACTTAATCTAACAATTGGAGAATTTTGTTGTTACACGATTTGGACAATTTTGCCGTTACACCCGTATATATATATATATATATATATATATATATATATATATATATATATATGATCCGACATATTATTACTCTGCACGTTATAATAAAGGATACTCCTGCCTGGAAGACCATCAGATTAACTTAGTACTGTCAAAAAAAAATTATCTTAATGACTTGTTTTTAATTAGGTCCCTTTGATAAAATTTCGGAAGTTTCAGGCTGATTCTTTAGACACTACAAATTTGAGTTTAAACATCTGATTCTGCTTGTCTATCCATTAGCTTGCGCGACCTTTACACACTGCTAATACTTAACAAATAATGGCTTAACCTGCTTTAATCGCGTGGAAAGACGGGAAAATATCATTGAAAGAAACAAAGAAATGTTTAACGTCTGCTGCCAATACCCAATAAATAATGGACCATTCTGTTTTGATCGTGTGGAAACACGAAAGAGATATCAGAAACGCTACTTGGTTTCAGCTAGAAAATTAAAGAAAGAAAGATGGGTAGATAGAAGTGTTTAATGTATCTTGTCAGTACCCTATAAATAATGGACTATTCCGTTTTGATTGCGTGGAAAGACGAAAGCCACATATCAGAGACGCTATTTGGTTTCAGTGAAAGAAAGAAAATATGGAAGAAAGAAAGGAGTATTTAACGTCTGTATTAGTGAAATTAAATTGTTTTCAATTTCATATCTGTTTGTATCCCCTTAATTCTTAAACTAACGATCAGTATTCACATTTTGATTGCTTTTGCAATATTCTGTTAAAGTTGTTAAGCTCAAATATTTAACGATGCGATAGGGGAATTTCTATGTATAATTTATTTATGTAAAACTCACTTTGAGCTTATTCAGTTATTTACTGAAAAATCAAGATTCATCAGAAAATTAAAATAGGAAAACTGCGAAATTTTCACAGATCTTTCTAGCGAAAATATTTTTCTTTTTAAAATCGAAAGATGGAGTCGAGACTTATGGAACGTAAGCAGTGTCGTCTGCAATCTGATTGATAAATCTCACTTCCTGGTGAAATGCGTAAGCCGACATCACAAATTAAATGCGTCCGGTTGGGAAACCTACGCATGCGCAGAAATTTCCCATTATCGATATGAATGGATTTTTAAAATATACCACCTGAAACTCCCTTGGCGTTTTATCAACTTCATGGACCCATCACGCTAACACAGATTGCGGAAAGGAAATAAATGTGGTTAAGTAATAAGGAAGAAGAGGAATGAAAGGAGGGGGTGCTGAAAATGAAAAATAAATGATTTTGCTAATATCAGTATGAAGAGAAAAACGAGACACCAAAGAATTATAACCTGAAGCGTTGGACTATTTTCTCTTACAACACTAACACCACCATTGTACCAATACAACCACCACAAAGACAACACAATATATATATATATATATATATATATATATATATATATATATATATATATATGTGTGTGTGTGTGTGTGTGTGTATGTGTGTGTACGCAAATATATGAATATAGATCCGACAGTATGAAGAAAAATATGCAGAAAAACAAACAAAAATACTAATATGCAATTATGCTGTCTTAATGTTAATATAATATCAACGTCGGACGTTTTGATCTAATAGACCATCTTCAGGACATATTCATAAAACATAATTAACATTCGACTATATTCAATTCAACATTAAAAAGACGATGGACACAAGAGTAAGACTAATCCGAACGAACTGTTTATATGAGAAAATCGTTCAATCGAGCTTATCTAATATTTTGAAATCATCTTCGAATACGTTTTCACAACATCGCCCACGTGACGACGACGTGATCATATTAAAACGGAATATATATATATATATATATATATATATATATATATATATATATATATATATATATATATATTCTGCTTAGTGTTTTTTCCCCTGATCTTTTCTTTCTTTTGTTTTGGTCATTGGAGACTTTGTCCATTCTGTTTGCTGGGCATTTGTGCCAATTACATTTAACCATGACCAATTAATCTACAATAGATATATAATGAGGAAAGAAGAGCTGGAGAATTTAACACACACAGGTTTCATTTAGCAAGATTAGAAGAAGGAAGCAGAGGATGACCTACTTGATAAGTTTCTGCAAACAAAATCAGAAAAAAAGAGAATGAGGTATAATAAATAAGAAAGAAATTCTGAGAGCAAAATTAACGTAAGAAGCTGTGGAGGGCTATGATCGTAAATGTTCTGAAAAGACAGATACATTGAGGGAGAGAAAGAGAGAGAGAGAGAGAGAGAGAGAGAGTTTGCATTTGATAAAGTATATATAAAGTTTCGTACTACCTGCAGTTTTAGACACAAAGTGCGGATCTTGGAACATATGAACAAGAAGTGTAATGATTTATTTTTTTAATAAATAAAAGAGACGGTGAGGTGAAAATAAAAAGTCGGGGGCGGGATTATAAATCGGTTCCAGCGTAGTTGAAGGTTACAGAATCAATATTAAATGATTCTGATCGATGGCTTTTATCTACGTCCAGTGATTGCTATTAGGGCAACCTTATTAAGTCGGAAGTGTCCCCCATGCTGTTCTGCTTGAATGGTTTTCAGTTTCTTTGGACCCTGTTAAGTATATGACGGGATGAGAAGTATGTGAGTTGAAGTGAAGCGGAAGTTGATAGCCAGGAATACAGGAAGGGGTTTAAAGTAGGACGTTCAGATGTAAATCTTGTAAGAAGCGAAGTCAGCAGATAAGAGAGAGTGAAGGGGGAGAATTGGTAAGTGGGTCAACAAGGTCTTCAGAGAAAGAATAAGAAAGAAAGAAAAAAAGAAAAGATTAAGAAAAAAAGGAAAGAAAGAAAAGATTAAGAAAAAAAAGAAAGAAAATATTAAGAAAAGAAGAAGAGAGAAAATATTTTTAAAAACTTAAAAATTATTAAGACAAAAGACTAAGAAAATAAAGAAAGAAAATATTATGAAAAGAAAAAAGAAAGAAAACGAAAGACAGAAAGAAAGGAAGAAAGAAAAAGAAAAAGTAAGAAAATATTAAGAAAAGAAAGAAAGAAAGAAAGAAAGAAAGAAAGAAAGAAAGAAAAAGGAAGGAAAGAAGGAAGGGAAAGAAATTATTAAGGAAAGAAAAAGAGACAGAAAGAAAGAAAGAAAGAAAGAAAGAAAGAAAGAAAGATAGATAGAAAGAAAAAGAAAATATTTTTTAAAAATTAAAAATTATTCAGAAAAAACACTAAGAAAAAAAAGAAAATTATTAAGAAAAGAAAAATAAAGAAAAAAGACAGAAAGAAAGAAGGAAAGAAAATATTAAGAAAAGAAAGAAAGAAAAGAAAGAAAAAGAGAAAGAAAGGAAAAAGAAAAGCTTAAGAAAAGAAAGAAAGAGAAAAAAGAAAGAAAAGATTAAGGGAAGAAAGGAAAATAGAGAGAAAAAGAAAATATTAAGAAAAGAAAGGAAAAGATTCAGAAAAGAAAGAAAGAAAGAAAGAAAACTAAAAAGACAGAAAAAAATGAAGAACAGAAAGTAAGAAAGAAAAGATCTAGAAAAGAAACAGAAAAGAAAGAAAGAAAAGAAAATTTTAATAAGGATAAAACATGCGTACGAGACTATAGTGGATTAAAGCGATGGTTCGTGAGTCTGGTGGCGTAATAATTGTGAGTTCAGTCCTTGTGCCGGGTGGTATAGACTTTGACTCGTTGCACACAGAACTAACATCGACTGGGCGGTAGTTAAAAAAGAACAAAAAAAGCTCTCCCTAGACATGGACAGTGGAACAAGAACGATTTAATCCCGTAAAGTTCAGTTCAAAATTCGCTGAAGTTTACCCGAATCGACAGATACCTGAAGGCCGGAAGACACAACAGTTGAAGCGTTATGATAATAACAGGAAGGATTAGGGCATTAATCCGACTGTACATATAAATAAAGATAAAAGAACAGTAAAGAAAAACGTCACGCAGAGAACGGACAAGCGGAGGTAGGGATGAAATCAGGCCATTCGGTATGACTGTTTGAAGTTATTTACGGTTTATCAACCTTTCGCAAAAAAGCCGAAATTATTTCTGGTTAGTAAGAATCTTTTTAGATAATAATCATTTTATTGATACAAGTGAATTCATACCTCCATCAACAGTATTTGCGTTTAGGAGTAGATAGCGTCCCCTATCGTCCGGTTCAGACACCTCACTGAACAGGAGTAAAGGTTTATCCCTCGTTTCCTGTTTAGGACTGGTCTTCCGGTTCTGTCTAAAGTCTACATCAGTTTCATACTTCTAACACCTCCACCTAAACTCTGAAATTTATCCTATTTTGGGGTTTCTGGCTCCTTCTAAATTTTTTTTCCTTCTCTTTCAATTTCAGTAGCATCGCCCACTCTTGCGTTTCAGTGGCTTTATCGCCTTGCTTGGGGGGAATTGATTTAAAAAAATGAATACAACGAACCAAACTGGAACTCGGCTTTCCGATTTACAATTTTCTAGCCGTTATCATTACACCACCCGCACATCCATGCTTATAGCATCTGATATTCCCAAACGGTCACCGATTTAGTTACTGACCAGGCTCGAGGTTGCTTAATTTTGGTATATCGTAAGAGAAAAGGAGTTTCAACATAAAATGACCATAAGTAATCCCATCCATTATAATATATATCGATAAAATCAAATGGAAGACAACCAAAGAAAATTATTATTTGTTCCATTCAAATCAATCTGCAGACATTTTGTTCCACTCTGGAAGCAACTTGCCAATTTCCCTCCAAAATAATTCCTTATTTATGAAGAGGTGATACATTCCTTTGAGAGTTTTGTTAAAATTGGCGTAGTATTTTAGAATCTGAATTCATTAATAATGATACAATTTTCTTGGATGCTTAGAATTTGTCTAAAGAAAAATAACTCGTTGAACAAGAAACATTTGTTGTTCAGACTTTCTTTTTTTTTATTCCTTCCTTCATTCCTTCCTTCATTTCCTCGCCCCCTCTTTCTTTCTTTCTTTCTTTCTTTCTTTCTTTCTTTCTTTCTTTCCAGAATCTTGTTGTCCCTGTGTTACTCGTCCCATCCACCTACGTATATTTCATCTTTTCGAAGAATTACTTCGCGTATTTTTCTTACTTTTTTCTCCGTCATGTAGATTAATTTTCTTTTCTTTTCTTTTCTTTTCTTTTTTATCCAATTTTTTTTTCATCACTCCTTCATTGCTTTTTGTGTTTGTAATTTTTGTACCATTACTGCTTAATAGTTCCTTTTTTTCTTTTTCTTTTTTTTTCTATTTCATTCAATATTCCATCCTTCATTGTTTTTTTCTATTTTTTCACTCCTTCCACTTAGAGCAATCCTACTTTCATTCGTGTTTGGGTCTCTTTCTTTCTTTTCTAATTTTGTAATTTTTTGATATCTTTCCCACACTCCCATGTTTGGTTTATATTTCTTTTTTTCCTTCCTTCCTTCCTTCCTTCCTTCCTTCCTTCCTTCCTTCCTTCCTTCCTTTTTCTTTATCGTCTCGATGTCTTTTCCACGATCTAACCTCCGCTTTATTATATTTCATTCATTTATTTTATTTCTTTTTTCTAACTTCTTCAATCTTATCCCGTCTTTTCCGCACTTTTATCTTTGCTACAATATATTTTCTTTCTTTCTTTCTTTCTTTCTTTCTTTCTTTCTTTCCATCTTTCTTTCTTTCTTTCTTTCTTTCAAATTGCCCTAATATTTCGATTTCTTTTCTTCACTAAAAACACTTTATATATTTCATTCATCCTTTCTTTCGCCTTCTTTCTTTTTATTCTTTTCTGTTTCTTCTTTCACTTCCTCACATAAAACACTTTTTCATTATATTTAATTTATTCATTCTTTTTTTTTGTTTATTTTTGCTTTCGCAGTTTATTTCTTCCAATGACTTTAATCTTTCGCTGTCTTTTCCGCGCTCTCATACGTGCATCATTATCTTTCTTTCTTTCTTTTTTCTTTCTTTTTTTCTTTCTTTCTTTCTTTCTTTCTTTCTTTCTTTCTTCGTTTTACTCTTATATCGTCTTTCTTTTCTCTCGAAAATCATGTTTTCTTTCTTTCTAGCCTTCATCTCTTTTTTCTTTCTTTCTTTTAATCTTATATCTTTTCCCAACTTTTTCTACTTCTTTCATTTCTTTCTTTCTTTCTTTCTTTTAATCTTTCCCAACGTTTTCTGCTTTTTTCATCTCTTTTTTTCCTCGTCTATTCATTACACACAATCCATTTTTATTATATTTCATATTTCATTCATTCATATGTTTCTTTCTTTTTTCTTTCTTTCTGTTTTCCTTTCTTTTTTTTCTTTTTAACTTCTTTAATATTTCGTTATCTTTTTCTCATTCACAGATCTTTTTCAATATATTTCATTCAATCAGTCATTCTTTTTCATTCTTTTTTTCCTTCCTTCCTTTTCTTTCATCCTTTGCTTTTATTTCATTCTTTCTTTTTTTTTCTTTTGATAACACATATTTCCTCTTTTTCTTTTGCCTTGGCATGATTGAAAGATGGACATTTTTATGGAGAAGTGACAGACAAACGGTGACACCGCATTGA